TTGGTTTTGGTTCTACTAAAAATCAACCGCAAAAATAACCAAACCAAACTATTAAATTAGATATATAAATTTTATATTTATTCATATACTAGTAGAGACTGATTGAAATTTTGAAATGGACAAAATCAAACACAAATTGCTAGTAACCTAAATTCGAGATTTGCTTCAACATGGTACTAAATTTCAAACTTTGCCAGAAAAGGGAAGAAGAAAACAATTATGTGGTATCTAAATTCTGAATCTATGGTTATTCAAGTCAATTTCATTCACACTTTTATCCCTAATTAGCTGAAATGGATAGCGAATGGGAGCACGAGTTTTCCGATAGAATGCTGAAAAATTTATATTAAATCATCTGTGTTACTAATCCGACTTGGAATCATTTTCTCTAGTGTGCAAACGATTTCTTGTTTTCACCAATTGTGCACGCCTTAGTTCATCTTTGATCAACTCCCCTATGCTCATCTAGAGTACCAAATCTAAACTCATTCACCGATATTTTATTATTAATTTCATTTGTCTTAGTAATTTCAGCAATGAGCTTGATTTGTTTTCTTGTTGATCTTGCAAAGTATGTTTCATATACATCCAATCTTGAACAACTTGATATTTTAAATCACAAAATATTACCCTTTAAGTGGTTGGAGTTGGGGCCGAAATTGAAGGGATTTAGATTTTGACCTGTATGAATCTCACTCTTTTACGTGACTCTAATTTTTATGTTATAACAAAGTTGTTTCGATTTTGGAAAGAGCTATGTATTAGCTATCCAAGTATCGATTATGTTTTGGATTCTGTATATATTTCTTCAGAGGCTAGCAATTTGGTCGTGACTGATTATGGGGCCGAGGTTTTGTCGGTGAATTTGAGTAGCTTGCGTATGATCAATGTTTTTGGGAATCATCTGCTTACTGATAGGAAGTCCTAAACCTCATTGCTCTTTAATATGTGAAGAAGGAGGAAGTAATTGAAGATCCTCTTAAGTATATATCTAGGCTTTCTTGTACAACTGCTTTATGATTTTTTATTTTGTTTTTGTTGAAATGTATGTTTGGCCATTGCTTTGAGTTGTCAATTTATTGTATGATTGGTGATTTTATGATCCTAACTTGAATTGGAAGCATTTAAGAGATTTCTTGGTGTTAATTCCTTTATATAAGAACTAGGTAAATTTCATGTGCTTCGCACGAGACTGGACTCTTTTATTAAGCTCTTTATGATTATTCAGTAATATTCGTATTTTCGATACATACTCTACATTTTCAAAAACATTTTATCTCAAGGCAAAACATTCTTCCAAAATTTTAAAGTGTTATATTAATTACATAAGCATAAACTAATGACGATAAAAAAAAATATCAGGATCTGTAACAATAGAATGAAACAGAAAGGAAAAAATTGAGCTCACTGAATGCACAATGTCCACTTAAGGAAATTATTTCCCTCTAGTACCCGAGGTTTAAAGAAATAGATCATCTCAGGATAGAACGATTCTATTCACTAGTGTATTGATACAAATACAATGGTGTAGTAAGCCACTCAACAGGAGCAAAGTACACGAATATTTATTTGTGCAGAAGAAGAAGTTCAGAATTTTCGTTGTTTTAAAATGAGAGGAAATCCCTCTATTTATAGACAACAAAGGGCAGTCCCAACAAATGTTTATTGTGCTTTATCGGAAAGGTCACAACTCTTTGGAAAAGTTACAACCCTTCGAAAAGGTCACAACTTATCATAAAAGTCGCAACTTTTCATAAAAGTCACAACTCTTCATAAAAGTTACAACTTTTCATTAAAGTCATAACCCTTCATAAAAGTCACAACGTTTCATGAAAGGGGAATGCTAGTTTTGGAAATAAATAAATTTAAAAGAGAATCCTGATTTGTGGTGGCCCCACGTAGGCGGGCCTAGGGTTCTCTTTTATATATATATATGATTATTCATAAATAAAATATAAATATTTTGATAAATTTTAATGAACTAAGTCTTTAACTTTACCAAACACTTTAGCCCAACTATAACAATCTTAAGTCCAAGTTCATCAAACTCCATTTTAGTCTTATTGTTCATATAATGATAACTCCAGTATTGTTTAATTGCTTAATTGAACCGACGATAGCTTTTCTGTGGATTGTTCATGTATTAGGTGTTTGTGTCTATCGAGACATGTAAGTCCTCAAAAAAATTATTACTTTCAAACTGAATAAACCAAAAAAACTGAACCAAACCTACGGTTATTTTTTTTGTTTGATTTGGTCTGATTTTAGAAATTTTAAAAAACCGTGTAGATTGATTTGATTTTGATTTTAATAAATAACCTATTCAAATCGAACCACGAATACCCCTACCACTACCCACGTACCTGACCACGCTTTTTCTCTATCCTAATCCTCCTTCCGCGCTCTCAACTTTATTCACTTCAGCCAAACTACAAAATCTTTGGAAACTGGTGGCGACTAAAAGAAAAGATCTGGGGTGTGTTCTATATGGAGAACAATTTCTCATCTTCGATTGGTCAAAAATTATAGAAAATATTTTTCTCTATGAAAACAAGTTAGAAAGAAAAATGATGTCTTTAGTAAAAATAGGAAAAACAAGTTTTACAAGTAGCATTCTACATTAACTGTGTCCTCCTAATCCTCTAACACACTTCATCTTCAATTCACCCAAATAGTCCCCATCCTCACCACCCCTATCCCTTACCCACCTCTCATGGTACTTATTTAGATTGCATACACATGTTTTTAGGATAATATCTTTTTTGTTTACGTACCGAACACAGAAAAATAAGTAACAAATTATGTTATTCTCGTAGGAAACATTTCCTTTGTACAGAACACAACACTCCTAAAAGGCTTTAAGTTGTACAGATGTTTCAATCCTATAAAAAATAATTCACATTTTAAAATTGAAACTTCAATGCCACAATCTGTTACTTTGAATATCTATAGTAACTAAAAACTCAGATATTTAGCTACCAAACTGGAAATTACAATTTCACTTCACCTTCCATCCCTCATCTACCTCATAGAGTTTGGAGATCAATTGATATTATCGTCGATCAAAACTAAACAAAAGGATAGAGAAGTACCAACATTCCAATCCCAACAAAGAAATTAATCTAAACATTTATGCCCCGACTCAAATTCAAAGAGAAAATTATAATTGAGAAGGTAGAAGTACCACATAAGCACGCTATTGTTGTTTATGAACATATTCAAAGAAGCAGAACTTTGTTGCTTCATCCAAAACAAAGGAATCCGAACTTGCTTTATGAGAAACCACTACTAATCAATTACCTTAAAACTCTATTCGTTTTTCTGTATTTCAAATTTCAATTAAGCTATGGTTCTTTCTTTTCCAGATTCTGTATGGAAAACTTAGCAATTTATAGAAAGAAAAGGCTTATCTATTACAGAAAAAATAAGAGGAAGCTAATGTATGTTATTATACAGATATGAAACTAGAGGTACAATGAGTTATCGTACTTTCAGGTTAACATGTTAATAAAGTTGGAAACTGTATTATACCTCCAACAAGAAAACATGTGGAAGAGAATTGATGGTATCTTTAACCACATATCAACGATATATGTTTTGACAAAAGCTGTTTGAGGTTTTGGTTCCTCTGTGATGATAACATAAACACGAATTTAGTAAAGACTCATTCTTGGGATACAGTTGCTGGAATGTCAAAAGGAGAGCAAAGGTTCACATTTTCCAACTAAGTGAAAATAATAAAGAAGCTAACAACCTTATCACCTAGTAGAACTTGAGAAAATCATTCAATACCAACCTACCACAGAACCACAAACCATTGAAATGCAAGGAATGCAAAAGGACAAAAAGGAGGTAGATGATAGATAGTTGTCACTTACTAAAGTCGATGTCTTATTAAACTCAGTACCCATCATCTCCATGACTCCTCAAAGGCGCAAAGAAGTTCGGTAGACATAATCCAGCAACTTATAACAGTCACACAGTACATTCTAAGAAAAAATCGTTTCCCCAGATTTCTTTTTCTTTTAGATAACGCAAAATTAAATACATTAACAAAGCGCCAAGAAGGTGCTGCAAAAATACATACAACAGAGTACAAAGATCAATTTATTTCTCAGCTGCCGAGAAACATTTCACTCTTAAAACAAGAATTAGACAACTATGCTGGCTTAAAGCTTAAAAGTCATTCACCGTAAAACTTCACAGATGGAGACATTAAAACTATGCACAACTTTAAGATGTATAGTTTTAGGATAACCACAAAATTCTAGCTAAAATTTATGGCCTTTTCGGTCTTATCATCATACCCAAGAGTTGATTACCAATAATGCAACTAATGTTTGGCCAGTTTGGGATTAAAGTGCCTCCTCCATCTCACTTCTTATATGCCAATACATGTAGAAGATTTAAGAGGTTTACTCTTTAAGACATTATAATTTCCTAAAAGTATCAATTGAATATGTTCATTTACTTGAAAGTAGTAATACATTGGTAAGCTTTTATATTATTTAAATTGTAGAGTCGCGCTAGAGAATTGAACAAATAGTCTCACTTCAACATTGATTGTTTCATCATTTGGTATCTCATTCTATACAACAACAATATGGGGTTTGGGAGGGTAGAGCGTTAGCAAAGTTAACCTTAACTCAGAGTTATAGATGGTTTCCGATAAACCCTCAACTCAAGGAAAAACAGTGCAAAGAATCCCAGAAGAAGGAAGTACAAGAAATACAAATCAACATTTAATTTCACTTTAATGAACACCATTAGAAGAAATATGTCATGAATGCAAATATGCAATGGCAATTATATATCCAAAATTCAAACACATAATTTACGAAAAATAATTATTATTATATCAAATAAATAGTTCATAGGGAACGAACACCAGATGAAGAAGCTATACGACTTACCTGTTCACAGGCCTAAGTCCTTCCTAAATGTCACACTATGCTTCTTTCAAACTAATTGAAATATCAGATGATAACAAAAATCGAAGATAGTAACAAAGCAATACGATAACAAAGGATAGTCAGTGAAATCAAAGGACAAGAAACTAGGACTAGTAATATTTTGTGCAGAGAATATACAGTTGTTCTACATTGGGTAAAAAGGGGTTTTGCAGAACACTCAAATTACATAGAAACACAATTTCTGCCCAAATAAATTGAGTCATATCAGATACAAAATTAAAAAAAGATTCACTGGGTTTGAGATTTGGGTTTAGAAATAGGAAAAGGAGGCAAGCGCAAGAGAGCTTCCTCAGTCTCAATTGGGTCTGATCTGAGTATCTACAAACATAAATAAACAAAGCAAAGATGGTTAATTGAGAAGGAAGTTAACAGAGAATGAAATGGAGAAGTTAACGCTTACTGGGTCTTGAAGAAGTGGCTTTGTGTCATCTTTTGCGGGTCTGAAAGCGGGTTTTGTCATCTTCTTCACTTCGTTTTTGCCATTACTGTTCATGCTTGATTCCTCGCCGCCCTTCGTATCCTTTTTTACTCTTTTCTAAATTATACAAACAGAGAGCTCCTTAAGTTGTTTTTAGCTTCTTTGAAACACCCACACTCAATTTATGATTTTGATTGACTTAATTTTCTAACATAATACTTCATTTGTCCCTAATTACTTGTCTATTTTTTAATTGACACACATATTAAGAAAATTATTAATGATATAGTGAGTTTACCATTTTATCCCTATTAATTATGAAGTAGATGAAAAGTTTTACATTTTTCAAAATAATTAGTCATTTAATTGAGGGTATAATTGGTAAAAAGAATTTGTCATTTCTTGATTTGTCAAAATGAACAAGTAATTAGGGACAACTATAAAAGGAAAAGTAGACAAGTAATTAGGGACAAATGGAGTATTTTCTATCGGTCTCAACTTGGACTAATGGAAAATGCTCATTTTGATGACATAAAAAATTAATAGTATATTTTTAGAAGACCTTTATATTAATATATAGTATCATTAGTATTATAAAGGGAAAAGGCATAAATTCACTTTTGTACTTATCTCGAAAAGTCAGTTACACGCTTAAATTATCATGACGACCTATTACACACCTTTACTATTTAAAAATAAATTTATTTTACCCCTAAAACTGACATAAATTTTTTTTTAAAAAACGCGTTTGACAGTAAATAAAATAAAAAAATAAATTAAAATCTTCTTTTTACTATCACACTACCCCACCCAACGCCTCCTCTTCTTCTTCTTGGTAGGCAACCATCTTCTTCTTTTTCTTTTTTATTTTTTTTCATCATTTTTTCATACCCAATTTTCATCCACCCCACTATACCTTCACCAAAATCCTCTCTCCCCCTCCCCACCCCTTCCCCCATCATATCCTATTTTAATGCTTATTCAATTTTACCACTTTCATTATATTTGATTTTTCTCTTCGGCTTTGTTGGTGGTTGATAAAATTGGTGATCAAGTTTAAAAAATAAAATATAATGATGGATTTGTTGGCATGGGGTGACAAAGAAACGAGAATTGGAGGTGGTGGAGAAGAAAAAATCGATATTGACAATGGTGGTAGTGATATTTGGGGGTGGGTTTGTACCTTTTGATAGTGATGATGTAATTTTGGTGATGAGTTTGTTTACGAGTGTCAAATTGTGTTGTGGATCTTTCTAATTTTTGTGGGGATGATGGTGATAGTATGATTTCGATGGTGGATTTGATCGTAGGTGGTGAAATCTATGGTGATTATTTTGAATTTCATTGGTGAAATATATAGATTTGGTAGTAATATGGCAGCAATGTTAGTGGTTTCATGGTGGTGCTTATTGAACAAGAAACAATTGAATGATATAGAGAATTTTAGTCAAAATTTGACATGACATCTGGTGTGGCAGTGACATGGCATTGATGTGGCATAAGTGTGATACACCTCCCATTGTGAGAGTGGTGCTACACGTCTTAAGGGGTAAAAAATTCACTATTTAGTAGCAGAGGTGTGTAATAGGTCACTATATTAGTTTAAGCGTGTAACTGACTTTTCGAGACAAGTTCGGAGGTGAATTTATGTTTTTTTCCTATTATAAATTAACAATTCTTTAAAAGTATAAATATATCTAAGATAATTTAGTGAAAGATGATTATATTGTGTTTTTTTGTTAAAATATAAATCTAGTTGAAACACATCTTTAACTTTTCTTATTGCATCCAAAAATTCTAGTGTTGCCACTACTGCAAATGTTTTTTTAGTGCATGAGGAATGATCTGTTTTGTACAAACATAATGATTTTGTGATACCTTTTAAATGAGAAGCTATTTATGGATATGGTTTCAAGAAATTTCCTATGTTTCTCATATAGTTTATTCTCTCACTATCATACATTGAATATTTTTAATAAAGATTCAATGAATAATATTTAATTATTAAGAAAAAAATAAACATTATGTAATGAATATATTTTTACAATGAATCATTTAACAAAAAAAAATATTATAATGAATCATACACATACATTGTACTTTAAGTGTAATGAAATTATTTTTTATATAAATTCAATATATGATACATAATTTAGTAAAATACCATGATTTTGAGTATTCATTGTACTTTATGTATAATAAATCTATTTTTCTATGTAAATTTAATAAACATGATACATTAATTGGTAAGATCCAATGATTTTTATGTAAGCAAAATTAACCTTCATTGAATCTCAAAATACTCTTTTAATTAATAAATATTAATTTATCAATTAAATAATACATAGAACATAATAATATTTCATGATCCCACCTATATTAATTTTGTGAGATTTTACTTTACTTATTACCCATGTCATTTATTTTTTATCCATTTATTGACCATTTTTATAATAATCAATTAAATATTTTTAGTATTTTTTTTAAATATGTAGCGAATATTTATTGGTTACATTTTAAATTACTCAAAATTAATGAGAAAATTATGCGACTAAGTAAATATATACTGGTTAATTATTTAATATAGCTATAGTTTGAAAAAAAAAGTTTTCGCCACTAACCTATAACCATATTTATATGGGCCACGTCCAGAATTGCTATGATTCAGTTTCTAATTGTATAATTCAGAATTTGTATATGTTTACCATATTTATATACGATTTGTTGATAGTTGATACATTTGATTTGTATAAGTTATGAAAAATTCATCTATGTATAAATTTAGAATTTGTATATAACTATTCTATTTGTACATGATTTGTTGATACATTTGATTTGTATAAGTTTTGAAAAATTCCTAAATATATAAACACAAATTTTATATATACTTACCATGTTTGTATATTTGGCATGCGAAATATACAAACGGAAATACTCGTAGCAAACGAAACTATAGCTATGAAGCGTAATTAGACAAACTATAGCTTATAAGAAGGCTTATTAATTTATTTATTTATTTGTTATTTATGAAATTTCCTCATTACTACTTATATTTGATTCAATTTAACTTAACACAGCCGATTAAAACAAATACACCCTTCATTTATAACATTTCACTTTATCTGCCCAAATAGGATTCATTCTTCAAATTAAGACCATTTGACCGATCTTATCCACCTAATAATTCAGGCAAAAATGACTAATTCAATTTTCTAATAGACTAGTTAATTCTGTAACTTATTCATAATTTATTAATAGTTAATAAATAGAAGTTAAAAAGGGAAATATCGCTTTAATAGTTTAGATTCCCAATATAAACCCCTTATGGTCGAATTTATCAATCGATTAACATTAGGCTAATCTTCTAATAAAAAACCAACCTTCTAGAATGAAAATATAGACCACTTTTCATTCACGTGCATTGTTTGGTTAAAGTCCATTGAGGACAACAAGAAGTAAGTAGAAAACATTTAGAGCCACAACTTTTTATAAGTTGTAATTCTAGAAAGTCAATCAACTACTAATAATCTCTTTTAGGTTATGACTCCCACCCCACCCCACCCCATCACCCACCACAAAAAATAAAATAATAATTTAAATACACAACTTATTTACTATATTCTCTAAAAAAAATTATTATTTAAAAAAGTTACAAAAATTCATATTCTTTTATATTCTCGGATACATAACTCTTACGTGACGTATCATGATAGGTGTGTCTTGTATCGGCAAAGGTAATATATCGGGACGCAATGTATTGAGACATTGAGCGTTGTATTGGAACAGTGTCTTGTATCAATAAAGGTAATGTATCGGGACACAATGTATCAGACGTTGAGTGATGTATCCGAAATCGGAACGCGATGTATTGAGATTTTGAGTATTGTATTCAAAATTCTTAAATTTTAAGGGATTTTTGTAATTTGAAAAAGAGTAGGAATAAAATGTAATTAGCTCTTCCCACTATGAGATTTGTGTAAAATATACAAATAAAATAAATAAAATTTACTTTATAAAAATGACAAAGATATTTATATTCGTTGTATTTCATTTTATGTCATGCAGCTTAATTATATATTTAAGGAAAAAAAAAAGAAGAAATTTGTAAAACTCACGAGCTATCAAAAGATGTTATTACCGATATTATAAAATTTAAAGGAATATTTTATAAACGAATAAACAAAAAAAATAAAATAGTGTCTCTGAAAGAATATATAGCTTCCAAACACTGATACTAAACTTTATTTATAAACAAATTTTAATTTGCAAGAATTAAAACAGAACTTTCTTTTCATGAAGTCAAAAGATCAATAAACTAAACTTTATTTATCAAAAAATCTTGAATATTCTGGACACATTCTAGAATATTCATTCTTATTTCCTTTTATATTTAATTAATATTTTAATTGGATGGAACATTTTAATGCATTCTCTAATGAACATTGAATTGACTTAATGGAAGGAAGAAGATTCATAATGATATTTTTATCACCTTTTTTTATTTTATTAATAAAGGGTGATATATTATATACTATAAGTTTTACCTCTATTTTAGCCTTAAAATGTGAATATTGGAAAATATTCATAACTAATATGATACAAACTACTATTAGTATGATACATCAATAACATTTGATGACTTTAGAGAAGCCTTTCACAACACCAAAAGGTCTCCAAACACACATATATTCATCATAGAAACAAGGAGATATATGCACACCTGATTCTCATAGATTTTTCGACTAAAAAAAAACGATATACCAAATCATAATAATATACTCAATCTTAATCTTTATTCTTCTTCTTTTGAGATGACTTTGAGTGCCTTATTGTTGTCATTGTTGATCCTTAGAAGATTTCTCGTAGATCACAATAATATGTACTTATCTCAAAATTACTATATGATCAAGATTTTCTTATTGAAATCAGAAGTTTTTGATTTTGATCGTAATCTTGATTTTCCTCGTGCTTTGTAATAGGAGCCAAGGCAAAAGAAGAATTGACTTTAAGGACATTATTGTTGTTGTTGTTGTTGCTACTGATTGATTTATTAATTGATTTCGAATCATCTAAAATTTCATTATCGCTATTCTTTTTGGTTTTGATTAAAAGAGAGTTTTGTTGGGAAGAGCTGATGTTTTTGTTTGTGTTTTGGAGAGGATAAAGGAGATCTG